GCAGCGGCGTGGCCCGACTTCAGCCGCGCTGTCCGTGGAGCCCCAGGAGGCCCCGGAGCGGACCCCGGTCAGCAGTCCCACGCCCGGAACTGGGGAGGCTGGTTTGAGCGCCTTGGAGTTCACTGGTCACCGGCTGTGCGCAGGGAGTTTTAATGTAAGCGAGGGGTTTGTGTGAAAGGGACGCCCCCGGACACGGCGTGAAGCCCGTCAGCGCCCAGGTGCCCTTTCAGGCTCGGAGGGGACGGCCGCGCCGGGTCAGACCCCGGCGGGACTCGAACGAGCACCACCAGCTTTGCGGGTGAGTTTTCACGTTAGTGGAAAAAAAGGCCAGTTGCGTTTAAGTTTTAAGATTTTAGCCACGTAAAACTGTATTTCAGTGTGCAGTGCCCTGTCGCGTTTTGAATTGTAGGAGGAGGCCTGGAGCTGGGAGTGGCTCATTCCCGCGCCGGCTCCAAGGAGCGCGCGGTCCGTCCCGGCGGGTTGAGGGCCGGCGGCCCTGTGCCGTGCGGCCGGCAGTCTGACGCAGCAGCTTCCATGAGCCTTTGTGTTGCCCATTCACTTTTGGAAACTAGTGAACGTGGTGTCAAAAAAGGCGCAAACTAAACACTTAGCAGCCCTTTCCTGCCCTTGGATTTGGTATCTTGGGTGTAGGAGCTGTGTAAGTAACAGTGTGTGCTTTTACATAAATTTGTTCGCACCTGTGATCTTGAGCCTGCCGACATTAAGCGTAGAGTTTCTCATGACAGGTTTAACTTGATTTTTGTTTAGGGGAAAGATGGATGCTTGAAGCGTAGACTGCTAGCTGACTACTACCTGGGAGCACAAAGATGACCTAAGGTAAGGTGATGTAGAAGTTCTGTCAGTTATCTATTGAGATTCACTGCTTTTTTATAAGTATTTGGATTTTCCTAACTTAATTTTTTTCAAGATTTGTTATCCTGTAATATCCACCCCTTAAAATAATTCACCAGGCAATATAAATACTTCTAATAAAGATTAAAATGATTTAAAAATAAAAGCAGTTATTTGTAATGGGAATTTTATCACCTTTTTGCACTGGGGTGTCTTCTCTTGTGGGTATTAGTTTAAATTGGGTATTAATGGCTCATTAGTATTAGTACTGCTACATCTGTAACAAGGTGAAGTTAATAGCAAATGGGATAGCCCGTTTCCAGCTTATTTTTGAAATCTAAGATGTTTCTATGTGTAGTAGTAGTTAAATTTAAGGGGGGAAAAACACTTGCCAAATGTCAGGCACGTTTTATGTTGACATTTAAATCTGGCTCCAGAAACAAGTAACAGTGCAGTGCATAAGTATGCATTGAGAGTTTCTTAAGGTATGATGCATGTGAATATTGCGTTGTAAAACTTAAGTGCTTTTTTTTCTTTTAGGGTATCATTGGTGAAGAATTTGAAAACTTAATCTTTACAAGAGTTGCTTGGATTGTTTAAAATTTTCAAGAGTTTGAAGAGGGCCAAAACTGCCTCTGGACAGTCCATAAATATACATTTAAAACAATGTATCTGTGAATAAATATTTAAATGTGCTTCTTGGAGGTTTGTGTATTACATAACTGCCAGAAAATAGCATTCTTTTACAAAAAAATCAGAGGGTTTCTCCCTCCTCCCCCAGCAACTTCAAAATTGTTAGAAGGTCTCAGCAGTTAAGATAAATATTCTTTGCTATAACTGGGAGGCTTATGCTAAGCCCCAGGAGAAATGTGCTTTCTTCCAGTGCCTCATGATGAACCAAACTAGACTGGTTGGATGTAGGGCATGGGTGTGCTTTTACATTGTCACTGCATTTTATTTTATTTTTTATTAGACTGTAAACAAGCCAGCAAATCTGCCTTCACTTTGCGGGAAAGAACAAATAATATGTTCAGGAATTTTAAAAATTTATTGAAAGCACTGTACTAGGAGCTGGGAACACAATAGTGAGGAAAATGGTCCCTCCCTTTAGAAGATTACAAGCGAATGAAGGAAATGTCATCACAAATGTAAAACTTCCCTTTGTGAGGTAAATCCCATGTAAGGTAAAATTTGACCAAGTCAGGGAAACCTGAGAAAGCAGAGTTGGGGCTAAGGGTAGGTGTCAGTTTTGCAAGGCACAGTTGGAATGGAATGTGCAAAGGCCTTGAGCTAGAAAAGGTATGACCATTAGTCCGTATCTGGCAGTTGTAGCTGCTTTCCCTCTATGCCCTGTTTTAAAGGAGGTGAGTGCTTAATGAGGCATGTTAGGTGGCCATTTCAGAGCTGGGAATGTTACAAATTGAGGCTGAACAGGTAAGATGCCAGACCACTTAAGGCTATGTTTAAAGCAAGGGGAAATCCTGTGACATAGAACTTCACATTTGTAAGAATAGGGATACAGGTGGGCTAACTGGAGGCTACTACAGTTGTCTAGACAGATGACCACCTTGGGCCAATGTGGCAAAGTCAGTAAAGGGATAAGATAGAAAGCAAAAGTGACAGGACTTGGTAATGGGAGAGGTGTCCATATGATTGCTAGGTGTGTAGACACAGTCATGGCCCCAACCTAGCTGGGGAGCAGCATTTTACACTGTTTGGTCTCGGAACAATGGCCTTTGTCTAAGCTATAGAAATGCCTCATAGTCCTGGGCATAAAAGAACCACCTGGGGAGGGTAAAAGGTGGCTTGCATTAGTGTTTATATTTTTCCATGGAAAGTACATTGCAGAGGGGAAAGGTCTGAAATTGCCTTTGGGGAGAGTTAGATAGCCAGGCAGAATGGAGGGACCACTGGATGCTGAGGGTGGTCATGAATTTATAGGCTGATATCCACATACAGCTTTTTTCTTAAAACAAGACAAGGACACTACAAATTAAAAATGCTTTCAAACAAAACTTTACATTTGTAAATAACCAGTGGAACTTAATGCCATAAAATACAGCAGTACAAAGAACATTTATATGAATAAAAATATCCACAGTCTGAAAGAGATGGGACCTCAGTCATGCATCTGCACAGGCTGAGGCCCACCTAGAGTTGGGAAGAACTTTTCATCCCACTTGTACTATTGCACAGCTAGCCAGCTGCAGGCCAGGATTCCAGAACTTTGACCAGAAGCATCTGGTCTGGGTTGTGGATATGGCATCCAGTGAATGAGTTTTTACAAGACGACTATCCTTCCAGTTACCAAATAAAAAGGTCCTTCAGCACAAATATACTGTAGTTAAACCTTGAAAAGAAGCAACACTTTCTTCTGAAGAAACACTTGCAGGTCCAAGATACTTAAATAATTACAATTCACAGTTTCAAAGTAAAAGGGGGCACACACACCCTTCCCACCCCTCCCAACCCCTCATCCCAAGTCTTCCACTGGGATCAAGTCTCCATCTTGAGGCGTGAAGCTTGGATAGTTTTTATTGTTTTTGCTATATGTTTTCCAGCCAGACTGCTTGTAGATGTCTGAGATTTTTCTTCAATCAGGCTATCTTTAGATCCATTTCTTTTCTAGGAGAAAAAATGGTAAGATTCAGAAGAAAATACAGCCAAGTTAAAATTAATGCATCAGAAATTAGTATTTTCTTACATTTAAGAAGACATCAAGTTATAAGTTCTTAATATCAAAAGCTGTTCAAATATTCCCTCTAGTTAAATATGATAAACATGATTGTGCTTAAATCTTAGAAAAGTTAATTCTGACATAAAAATTTTATTCATAAAACAGGCATAAATCTCAATCTACTCCACCAATTATGTGTCATTTTCTTTGTAGTCATTTCTAAACGAGGCTCTCAGGCCTCCCACTGTTCTGAGGAGGGGCAGAGAGAGAAGAGAATAGGGAGTTGGGTATTTATACTCCTCCCTGATTATATTTTCAGCAGCCAGTGAATGAAACTCCCATAACGCAATGCCCTGCCCCCACTCCCTTAACTTGAGGCTAGAGATCCCTGTCAGCAGGGGTGAAGAAGGGACTCTCAAGGGGACTTCGATTTTGAGGGCCCTATCATGGAGAAATGGGAACCGAGCTATCAGAACCTGTGTATCACACCCAGAACTTCTGGAATTGGACCATCTAATATATCTCCAAGTGGAGGCGCTAAGAATGGCACTAACAATTGCCCCACACAGCTCCCTACTCTGCCTAACCTTCCTGCTCCTAGAGATGGCCTAACCTGTCAGTAGATCAGGCTAACAAGCATATTTACTTCCCCAAAAGTATTTGCCCACACAAAATGAGCTACACTGTCCAGAATTCTATTTTGAGATTAATTTGGGTTAAAATAAGTTACCACTTAAAAGCTTCATTTGGGCCCTGACCAGGTGGCTCAGTTGTTTGGGGCATCGTCCTGATACACCAAGGTTGTGGGTTCAATCCCTGGTCAGAGCACATACAAAAAAATCAATCAATGAATGCATAAATACGTGGAACAACAAATGGGTGTATCTCTCTCTCCCTCCCTCTCTCCCTGCTTCTCTCTCTCAATAAATTTCTTTTAAAAAAGCTTAATTTGTTTTACTGACATTCAAAGGAGCATTGATGAAACAATTCTGCTAAGCATGGGGAGTACGAGTCAAGATAATCAGAACATGAGACTATCTGGGATGGAAGATTTCTAGACAACCAGAGAGAGGGGACACCAGTGCACATGAGAGAGAGCCAGGGCAGGGGAAGAGAGAGCTAATCTATCAAAAGAATCACCAGGTAGGAGCTGGGAGGTTACCTGAAACAAACATCACACCTTTTTAAGTTTGTCTAGGACTGAATTTGTCCCCTCTGTCAGCAAACCTTAAGGAAATAAGTGAATCAAAGTCCCTAATGCACCCCACTTTAACCAGCCTCTGTATGAAAAGGTAAGGTGAGGTACAGGCAGGCAGGCCACTGCCAAAACTAGGGCACCAAGGTGGAACTTAGGAAATGCAACTTTTCTGCTTCAAGAGTCACTTAATGGGCAACTGAGTCAGTGGTTTCCTTTTGGCACTTAAAATCCACACTCATTTCCTGTGACATCTAAGGCCCTGAGTTATCTATCCTTCCCCCCAACTCAACTGTACTCAGATCACAGCTCAAACACCCAGGCCCTTCCCAGCCTCATCTTTCCCAGGCTCTTCCCTCTGTGTTTACATCAACCTTCCACCCACTCTCACACAGTGGCTCCCTCTCACCTGGAAGGTTCCAACGTTACATGTCACTTTCTGAGATGACCTTCTCTCACTACCCTACCTACCAAAGAAAGGTCACCTGTTGATTTTCTAACTCAGGCCTGTGTTTCTTTGTCATGCCTACCTACGTTTTTGTATTGTGTTGGCCTGTTTACTTTTATGTGTTGTCTAGGCCAGGAGTCAGCAAACATTTCTCTGTAAAGGGCCAGATTGTTTACTACCTCTTGTTTCTGCCACTATTCCTTTTTTTAAAACTCCTTTAAAAATGTAAAAACCATCATTAGCACCTGAGCTATACAGAAACAGGCAGCAGACTAGATTTAGCCCATGGGCTGTAGTTTGCAGACTGTCCAGACCTGTGCCTGTGGTTCCTTAGATGTGCTCAGTAGTTATTTGTTCAGTTCACAATCAAAGGTGTCCCAGTGACAAGCTTAGAATCAGTGCCACTGATCAGAAGATGGGTGTTTGCTGTTCTTATATGCAGCAAAGGGAGAGAGATTCAACATCTAATGTGAATTCTTCAAGTTTTTTGAGATTCCTAAGTGATGGTGATTAGTTAGGGCAGTGATTTTCAACCTTTTTCATCTCATGACACACATAAACTAATTACTAAAATTCTGTGACACACCAAAAAATACATTTTTTGCCGATCTGACAAAAAATACAGGTATAATTGTGACTCATTCACACCAAATGGCTATTGCTGTGTTGGATGTTGTCATTTTTTTATTTGGCAATCTTAGGGAAAAGAGATTAGTGCCCTGACTAAATAGCCAGGTGACGCATGTTATAAAAATTCTTGCAGCACACTGGTTGAAAATCACTGAGTTAGGGAGTAATCAGAAAAGCAAAAATACAATAAAGTAAAATTCCTATTTGTATTAAGACCACCTTAAATTTAAGATCAAAAAAAGAAAATTCTGAAAGTTAACTGCTTATTAATCCTCACAGTAGCCCTAAGAGATAGGTTATCGTCTACACTACATAGAAATTGAGGCTCAGAAGTTCAACTCTTTGCCCAAAGTCACACAAGTAGTATGTGGAGATAGGAGACACAAATGTAGGTCAGTCTCAATGCAAAACCCTAACAACTAATATGAATATAATTTTTTAAAAGTGCTATTGATTTCAAACACATTGTCTGTTTGAACAACCTATGAGCTCTCCCAGATTCATCTAATCAAACATTATAATGCAGAACGTAGTGGAAGCTGTGGTTAACCACCCTGATCTCCTTCCTGACTGAGGCATTCACTCCCCTCGCTGCTGGGAGTGACGGCTGCTGTACAGCTCAGAACCGAGCCCTTCCACAGGCAGTGCCCTCAGCTGTAGAGAACCACCCCGCCCACGGTCATGCCCCCCACCGGGGGCACCCTTTAGCCAATGACTGCTGTAAGTGAGTGTGTGAGTGTATAAGGGCCCAAGCCCCGACTCCAGGTGGGATGAATCAGAAGGGCCATGTCAACTCCAGATGCCTTTTGGGAGGGGCTACACTACACAGTTCAACTCTTGCCTCTGCCCAAACCTCTTCCACTCCCCAGCAAGTGTTGATCCCAAGAGCTCTTTCCAATAAACTTCCTCCATGCAAATCTCCATCTCAGAATCTGTTTCTAGGGAACCTAACCTAAATTAGCACAGGTGTTTTTTTCTGTTCTTGCTCAAGTCATTGGCAAGAATGAATCAGAACAAACGAAGGACAACACATGATGAACACTGCTGGAGTCAGGGTTCTCAGGCTGTCCATCAACTCCTAGAATCTATACACAAAATTGTGTATGTGCTTACATGCATTTTATGGGAGAGAGACTATTGGCTTTTCAGAGGGATTCATGATCCAAAAAAGACTGAAAACCACAGCACTGCAAATAATAGGCTGACACTGATCCATCATTACGATCAACTTTGATCCATTATAAACATCAACTTTGTTTTTGGAGTGGTTGTTTAACCAGATATAAGTTCATCGAATGATCTTATACAGCCTGCATTTTTTTCTATCTTATTAAAAAATACACCATGAGAGGTGGTGTCACACAGCTTGCCAAAATGTTTGCTACAGTGTTCCCCTGATACATCTAATTCAGCTGAGTGTTAAACCGATTTTGTTAAAGCAGCTACATTCTTTGCTATGTCCTTGAATTCCCCTTTAACCACATTTTTAAAACATTTCCAGAACAAAAGCAATTCTCTTTGATAGAGAAGACAGAAATAAAACAGGACTTGAGTAATTCTCCTGTCTGCCATCAGCTAACAATAGAACATCTGCCCCCCACCCCCCAATTCTACCACTTTCTCCTTGTTTCTCTGGCTCAAAAAAATATCTAAAAGTTTGGTTTGTTCCTTTTAATTGGTGAAGCCATTGTTTCTTTATTCTGGCTCCAAACAACCTTAACAATCCTTGTTATCCTTGGCTTTGCCCCAAGCCTCAGACCACTTTAGACCCCGCGCTGTCTCTAGCTCTCGCTCCCAATGGAACTTCCCAGGTTGTGCCTTGTCTTGACCATGCACCACCCTCCTCCCCTCTCCTTCCACGGTTTGTCCATGTCCTTTTAAAATACAGAATCTCCGCGTAAAGCTAAAGATTCCTTTTCCTACCTCCCGAAAGAACTTTCAGAAAAGCGCTTCTCAAAATTGCCATCAGTACGCCACCTTCCCAGACCTCGATTGTCACCAACCTGACGCACTGTGGGGCCGCCAGAACCCTGGGCATCTGAAGAGCGGGTCACGGGCAGCGGGGGGACGAGGTCCGTTTTCGAACTGCGGAGAGTGAGCCTTAGAATTAATTTCTGACCATCGCAATTAGAGTTGAAAGAGGGCAACAGCGCAGAAGGCATGCTTTGTATCTCCCTGTATCCCTCGGAGTGCCCATCACAGTGCTTCGCACAGGGAGGCGCTGAATAAATGTCTCGACTTTCGCTACTTACTTCACTTCCGACAGAACCGATCGCTCTCCATCTGAACACTGGGACCTTCGATACTGGCGGTAACTTCGGGGCGAGTGAGAGTGTCGGATGCGGATCGGGTCACCTTGAGTCCTGAGCAAGCAACCAAAGAAACGTGGAAACAAACGCACCCTAAGTCAGACCAGGATAATTCCTTAAGAATGATTTTGAGGGTTTAAAAAAAAAAAACTCGATCCCTCTGGGTTTGAAAATCCAAAGTGGCTTAAATTTCACAAGTTAACGAGAGAAAACTGCCCCCTCAGCCATACATGAAAATGAAATTCTTTATAGTATTTGTACGTACGTGTGTGTGTATATTATTTTTAACCACTAAATTCCATCTTTGGCCTGAAGATGAGGGTGTGTTGGGAGATGGCGGTGGGAGGGTGTGTGCCAACCTGCAATCTGACTACAGTGGGAAGGAAGCGTGAGTTACAGAAGGGAAATAAAGCAGTGAAGTAGGCCCCTGCCTCCCCTTGAGCACTAAAGCTGGGCAGGAAACTGAGTACAGTAACAGGTCGCGGGCTGCTGCGTCCCACGCTGAGCGCTGATTAGGGAGCCCCTGGGCCTCCATGAAGCACACTCAACGTGCTAGTTCTGTGATAGGGATGGGACTGGGCTTACAGGACAGGGTTTTGTGGTCAACATGATTCTCTTGGTGTTAAATAATGAATTTTTTAAAAAATCACTTTGTTACCAATCAATGAATATCTAAAAAAAGGCATTTATATTTTAAAACTAACATCAGTCATCAAATTCCCTTTGTACCTACCACACACAAAGTTAACAGGAGATACCAGTGATTGTAGTGCTGAAGGACAATGATTGGCTCTAATACACCCTTTTCTCCCTCTTTCCCTAGAGTTCTTTTTAATTTTAGTTAAAATGTAGAGACAAATATAAGCACTGTATAGAGAATAGGAAAGGATTACTGACTTCTAAGTACTAATAAAACTTCTGTGAAAAGAGTTTCCAAGTCATACTCACTCAATTTTAGTGTATGGAATCTCTTTTAATTGTTCTTCTGACAATCCAGACGGATCCACAAGTTCCTTCCTAGATGGCAAAGCAAAAAAAATTAAAGTTGTTGATGCTGGTATGAATACCAACACCTTTCACAACTGTCCCAAAAGACAGTATTAGCAAACCTAACAGAAATATAAGCCAGGAACAAAGATTTAAAAACTAGAATGGATTCAAGGAGAATATATTCTGTATTCTGTAGCTCTTCTGCTAACTCCCAGTTTATCCAATGTAGCTGGCTCCCCAGCCACTCTTAATTTCCCTACAAAATTCTGCTTCTCTCCTCTGTAGTAGGTGCCTTTTTTCCTTCTGAATATCTTTTCCTTGGTATTTGTAAAATATTGGCCTGTCTGAGGTCCAATTACAGGCAAGGCCGAGTGGCCTCAGGAGAAGAGATGTCAGGGCTGCCCCCGCGGTAAGGAGCCACCACTGTGAGTTCCATGTTCCACATAACGATAGCAATGAAGGCTGTCTGACAGGCTTCAGCCCTAGGCTGCCTCTTGGTGTCTGTGGTCTTCCTTGTCAATGCCTTGAAACTACATGGGTTTTAACACAAGGAGGGGGAAAAAAACAGTACTCACTGAATATGCTTCCATAACTCTTCTTTTGCTTGGATATCAGGGCTTCTCCTATAAATCAAGAAAACACCGCTCATCTCTGCAAACATGCTTCATCTAACAATCCCATAGCTAACTTCAGCAGAGCTACAACATTCATAGCTTTCAGACTGTGAAGTTTCCTTTGCCAGCTGAGATCAAAAGGAAAGACTGGGGAGGGAGAGCTAAGGGGGATGGTTGGTAGAAAGACACCAAGATGATGTATCTGCCAGCACCACTGAAGAAAAATCACACTGAAAGCAGCCATAACCCGGGCTTCATTTGATGACAGAGCTGGAAACTGCAGGGGTGAATGCACACACCCTCTGGTGGGGATATTACAAAGAAGAAGAATTTGAGGCTTCTGTTTCTGGTCCCTCTAGCTATTTCTTTCTTTCTTTTTATGAAATCCTCACCCAAGAACATGGTTTTCATTGATTCCAGAGAGAGAGGAAGGGAGAGGCCAAGAGAGAGAGAGACATCCATGTGAGAAACACTGAAGTCAGAGAGAAACATGGATCGGCCGCCTCCCGCACAAGCCCCAACTGGGAACATGCCCTGACCAGGAATCGAACTCATGACCCTTCAGTACACAGGACAGATGACACTCCAACCAACCCAGCCACATTGGCCAGGACCCCTCTAGCTATTTCTAAGTAAAGCAAAGAAGAACTCATCCTGATTGTTAATATGAGAGAGTCCCAACATGATCTGGGATTACCTAGTATAAACAGCAACGACAAGAGGAAAGGAAATGGTGGGACTGCCCAGACTTATAGACTGTGTGCCACTGACCCATCTTTCGTGTTCCACCTGATGATGTCACCCTCCATATGCCCTTCCCCATCCCTATGTATAGACCCACAAATCTCTTCTGCAAGAATGACTTGAGCAGAAAATACCACTACCTTTAACTTCCAGAATTCGAAGTTCAAAGCAGCATTCAGTGTTCACACTCCCCATAATACAGCAATGAATACTAGAAATCTATTATCACTGCAACTGTTGCCACAGAATGTCTTTTTCCTAGTGAGAAAATGATAAGCTTTCATCAGTCCTTTCAAGAGAACTGAGATCTAATAATGGGCCCAAAGGAAGGACTCTAACAATTAAAAGGCCTATGCTAAACTAAGCAAAGTCACTGATATACTCTGCCCGGTGGAATTTTATATTCATAATCTGTATCAGCATTTTGGAGCCCAGTATCACTTTCAACATATGATATTATCATTGCTTTCATTTCTCTCAGTTAATAAGGGCACCACAAGGCATTCTAGTAGGGCTTTCTGAGCCCACAGAATACAATAAGCTACCTTCTAGCAATAGAATTGACTAGCAGTTTTTATGTTTGTAGAAAGAAAAAAAAATAATCTGTCTGTAAAGACCTTTCAGGCAACTCACAAGGAGTAAAATATGGAAGGTAAGGGGGAGAGAGGATGAGGCCTTGGTCTCAGACATTAAAACATGATATCGTTAACAGATTTTGTTATAAGAATAAAATTGAATGCTTAAAAATATCTAAAGAAATGCTTCTTTGGGCACGGCCAGCGTAGCTCAGCAGTTGAGCATCGACCTATGGTCCAGGAGATCGAGGTTCGATTCCTGATTAGGGCACATGCCCGGGTTGCGGGCTCGATCCCCAGTGGGGGGCATGCAGGAGGCAGCCGATCAATGTTTCTCTCATCATTGATGTTTCTATCTCTCTCCCTCTCCCTTCATCTCTCTGAAATCAATAAAGATTTTTTTTTTTTTTAAATGATTCACTACTTCAAAATTACTTTAAAAAAAAAAAAAAAGAAGAAATGCCTCTTTGGCAGGATTTCCTGTATGGAATCCTCCTTTCCTACATCTGGCTGGCCCGATTCACCAGACAATATGTTAACCCATTAAATTATACTACCAGAGAAGGGCAACTATTAAAAAGCACTAACGGTGGACATTTCTGAGTGTTGGAATTGCAGGAATTTTATTTTCTTATTTATAATCTTCTCTAATTTTTTTTTAGTCAAGAGAATTTCTTAGCTTAATTATCAGAAAAGGAAGAAGTATAGGATATTTTCATGTTTTTTAAAAAATTACTATTGCTGCAATTTCATGGGAAATGTCTTTCATTCCCATCTCGGAAGAATGAGCAGAAATGTTATCTTAACCTCAATGAGAACATCAGTCCTTCCAGCCATAAATATTGGTTCTAAAAGATTCAGGAATTTAGTCTATATGTTTAAGTTCTATAGCACTATAACAGTCATATATTTAACTAAACTGAGTCCTGAAATGGCCAGCAGTTTCAAGGCAGGGAAAAGATCCAAAGCTAAAACAAATAGACAAACAAAAAAACTAATTTCCTGCAATTGCTAGACCACCTGTGATCTAACGAATGTAAACATATGCTAATGAGGAATGTATTATTTTTATGCCTACATCTGCACACATTTAATCAATAATTTAGGATGAATTCATGATCAGCAGCTCAACAGCATTTTGTACATTTAGAAAGCTGTGAAATTTTAAGTCATTTTTCTTAATTAAAAGGCCCTTGATTATGCAGATGTTTTACTTGAGCTCTCCAAATAAGTTCCTGAGGAAATAGAAGCCTGAGCTGTCCATTGATATAACATATAAAAAATATACATGCGACCCCATAAAAGTCCAATATTCTTCAAAAGCATCCCTCATCCACACCTTAGAGCAATAGCCCAATTTAAATTATTATTCAGTTTTAGAGAAATTAGTTTGATGAGACATCATTCAGAAATCATTTTGCTTCTTGCAAAACCCTAAAATAATAATACTTCATAAATCTACAAAGCACTTAAACCCCATCATTGCATATAGTCTTCTACATTCCCCAAATACTCCAATTACATGATCTTTATCTTGAAAAAATTACATTATAGTATACAATATTCTATACTTTGTGTACTACATTGCACTAAAATAATAAATATGGCAGCATCTGAGTTATTATTTTTGTGATCTTACTACTGACCAATGCTGAAAAGGAAGCTTAGAGTTGAAAATGTTACTAAGAAAACTGTAAGTTCACAAAACATCTTAAAGATTCAAAGCACTTAATAAATATCTCAGTAATTCCTCATCATATTCCTGAGTGGTCAGAATAGATATGATCAGATGTCTTAATCTTCCCCTTCTCTCGTCTCCCCAGCTCAGAATTAAAGGCTGATTAGGAAGCCAGGGAACCAAGCAACCCAGCTACTGAAGGTCGTCGCTCAGGAGCCACTTCCAGGGGCTTCATGCTAAATCTTTACCTGAGGCACCAGACTTCCTGTTTTGTGTTTACCTGGGACAACCACGTCACCCTGACCACCTCGTCTTCCACATCATCAATATTTTTTTCAATAAAAAATAGTAAGACATTGTTGCCACCAGAGGGAGCCTGAGCCTTCTCGCACACGCAAGTTGAGCCTAGAACTATTGTTTCAGCTTCAATGCCTCTTCCGTTTACAGTATCCCAACAGTAAAGGTTTATCCATGTAGAAAAGTAGTTTCATCAAAGTTTTCTAATGATAAAGAAACATGAATGTTGTGTCAATGCAGCTGAAAAATGTACTAGATAGAATTGTGCTTCTCAGTGTATTACTAGGTAAGATCCTATCATATTTCAGCTTAATGAGTTTTAGGAAAGGTTTTGTATTTTATACTACTGTATGTCTGTGGTATTTAATAATGAATACAACTTTCTTGCTTTTCAGACATTGGGCAACAGACAGCATAAGCCTGTTTCTATACACTAACAGACAATTGGAAAATAAAAATTTTAAATGTACAATTCAATACCATTAAAATTATCAGATATTTAGAATTAAGTTTATCAAAATAAGTGCAATAACTATATTGAAAACTATGAAACATTGCTAAAAGAAGTTAAAGACAAATAAATGGATGGGCAAAACATCAATTTTCTCAAAACTGATCTATAGATTCAACATAAGCCTAATCTACAGTCTATAGTCTTTTTGGGGGTGAAAACTAACAAGTTGATTCAAAATTTACATAGAACTGCAAAGGATCAAAAATAGCTAAAAGAACCTTGAAAAAAATGACAAAGTTGGAGAATTTACACTGCCTGATTCTAGTCTTATTATAAAGCTACAGTAACCAAGACAGCATGGTGGCTTAGGGATAGACAGATCAATGGAACAAAATTGGCCCATATATAAGCAGTCAAATTGATTTTTCAACTAACGCCCTGAGGCATTTCAGTGAATGACACCGAAATAACCAGATAAACACATGGAAAAAACTTCTAAATATCTACCTCTACCTCATATATGCAGAAAAATTAATTCTAGATAAATCACATGCCTAAATATAAGAGCAAAATCTATAAAGCTGCTAGAAAAAGATATGAGAATATCTCTGTGATTGTGGTGTAATCGAACATTCCTTAAGATGCAAATGGGGACTGATTAGAAGGAACCTGAGGGAACTTTTTTGTTCTATATTTTGATTGGCATGATGGATACACTATGTAAAAGTCAAAATTCATTGAATTGTATGTACACTTACAATGAGAGCATTTCATTGTATGTAAATTTCACCTCAAATTACTTTCAGTTAAATAAAAGTTTATTCCTTAGTCTGTTAAATAAATCTCAGGTCACCTAATTAAAATGATTAAATTACCAGGCCCATCTATAAATATCTGCCCAATTTACAATTGGATTACAGTAACTATAATACTCAACACTGGATTGTGCTTATCAATTTTATTTATAAACAGATTGCTTCATCTATTTAGGATTGTCTCTCGTAATGTTTCTTGACTTCTTAAAAATCTCTATATAGAATTTTTCCTAATTTTATTTTCCTTTTCCCTTTTTTTAATACATGAGATTTACTATTTGTATTTAACTGAATTTAGAGTGCTTTAGAAATGATTAGAAAACAAAATGTTGTTTTTAAGATTTAATATGAAGTCACCAAAACTTGTGTCTTACAAGTCCCTCATAGACGATTCTGCAGGGACAGGTAAAAGCACCTCTATAAAAGATTTACCCGTGACTATGCTGAGACTTGCTCTTCGTTTTCTGTCCCTTTTTGTTAGACTGCCTTCAGTGAGGTCTTCATTCGTCCAGATCTAAACCTCTCTTTTTTCATGGAGTTGCAAAGAGATAGTGGCCAGGACAAAGGAAGCTCTTTATTAACTTCTGCTTTAAATAGAACATTTTAATTGGGTTTCAGAACAAAAACATTATGGTGTAATGACTAAATCTATAAGGCTGTACAGCAGGTCCTCGAATAACATCCTTTCCCTGTAATGTTGACGAGGTGCTGTAGGAACTTAACTCTATATCAATGAGTTTGTGATAAAACTGGTTTTTGCTTAAAGTCACAGAACCTATCGATATACTAAGTGAAAACCTACTGTACACGGCTTAGTGTACTTGCAAATTTCCTCTTACGGAAGAAACAGACATCACTCCTTCTGAGGTACTACAGCTTTAAAAAAAAAACAAAAATATTCTGAGTAAAAAGTAAGCATCCCTTGGAGTCATGCAGGGTTCTGGAGAGAGCCCTGCAGAGCCCTCCCCGGGCCTCTGTTAACCTGAGCTGGAACCCTTCTGCCTGGCTCCCTCAGAGTTCCCACCTACCTACACAGTCTGTCTCCGAATCCACTCCTCAGCACCCTTCCACCGCCCTGAGACACTAATCCCTCCTTCCACCAGTAAGCAACACCATACGTCTAACTAGCCAGGATCACAAAGGAATGGGTAGTTAGTCCCAGCTCACTGTAAAAAGGTATGCTTTGGGAAGTGGAGTGGGGGTAGGGAGTCTAAATCTGGACAATGTGCACATTAATTAAAATATATATATATATATATATAAATTTTATCAGCTCAAAAGAAAATTAATTTGGGGGACTGGCAATCTCATCGTCATAGGGTAATTGTGCTCACACATGGCATTGCCTAGCAACAGAAGGAGCAGGCAAATCCCAACATTGGGGTGTAATGAATCACTCCCTGACCCTGCTCACAAATGGTAATTTGATGGGAAGATATTCACATCTCATTCAACCTGGAACAAGACTTTAGAGAATTCTGCGGACTCCAATTGAGAGAAACAGCAGGTATTTCAGCAACAGACAGGCTCCAGAACAAAGGAGACTGTTCCTACTTATTCAGTTGAATGTATGCTTTTGTTTAAAAACAAAACAAATGTTGATATCCAAATGTTGAGAGCCTTGTTTTTTGATGACACTTTGGCTTGTGCTCCAACTTCTGCAGCTTCAGATATAGTTAATGAACGTCACAAATATAAGAAGGTCAATATGACAAATACACAACAGGATAATCATGGTGGAACTAAAGCACTTCGGAAGGCTTCAGAGAGACATCCCCATGTGCCCCAGAAGCCACACGCTACTTCAAGCTCAGCGTTTTTGAATCAAGGTATAAAGAGAGTCCACATACGAGCGAGATCTGTGTCTGGATCGTCTGTTGCTGGGGTCCGCCTGGCTTTTCTCCTTTTGTCTCCTTAATACAGCTTCCCACTGAGGCGCTGAGTCAACCAGATCGTTCTCCTGCCGTATTCTGAAAAGAAAGGCCATTCATCTGAAGGTAACATCCGCATGTGTGCTGCTTTGTTTTCTGGTTCACCCTAAACTGGCTTTTAAATGATATTAAGAAATTATCAAGTAAGTTATTTAAAAGTTATTGAGAAAAATGAAAAGTTACTTAAGAAGCAATTTCATGATCATCACTCAAAACTAAGAATGTGTTAAATGGATTAACACAGAAGTATTTATGTATATACTTATGAATATACGATAATATTTATACATAATATGTAAATATATATTAGTTATTTTCAGACTTCTACCTTTGGCTTAAATTTTCTTAGAAAATGATGTGTCAACAAAAACTCATTTAAAACATATTTAAACCCAGCCAGCATGGCCCAGGGTTGAGCGTCGACTTAGGATACAAGAGGTCACTAGTTCGATCCTTGGTCAGGGCAGATGCCCGGGTTTCGGGCTCGACCCCCAGTAGGGGGTGTGCAGGAGACAGCTGATCAATGACTCTCTTATCACTGACGTTTCTAACTCTCCCTCTCCCTTCCTCTCTCTCTCAAATCAATAAAAATGTATTTAAAAACATTTTTGTAAAAACCATACTTAAGGTTTTTTGTAAAATTTATTTTTCAACTACAGTTGACATTCAATATTATATTAGTTTCAGGTGTACAGATAGTGGTTAGACATTTTCACAACTTACGAAATGATCCCCCGATAAGTCTAGTACCCATCTGACATATAACATATTCAAGTTTTGACTAAAGAAAAGAATGGTGTCTGCTATAGAGACAATCTTAAATCATGAAGCAAAATCATTTCTTAAATCGTGCTAACCAAAACAGCAATAAATAATTTGTAAAAGTTTTCATGGACAACAGTCGCCAGATATAATTCCCATTTTTTAAAAAAGAAAACCAGAAGTGCATCAAAATTAAATGCCTTAGCAGCTGAGCAGGCACACAGCATTCTGGCTACAGCTGCTCACAGGCTGAAGAGGGAGCGAGGGTGAACACTCAGGTGGCCAGGGGCCAAGCAGGATGTGGAAATGAGGGGCCAGTCAATCCAGGGGAAATTCCAGAGCAGGGGAGCACTGGGGAGCACAGGCACCCGCCATATGAGATCACAGGACAATGTTACCAAATTTTCTTATTTTTTTAAAAGATAATCCACAAATCTGAATTTTTAAGGTGAACTCTTCCAATTTTAAGTAACGGCAAGCAATTCTATATGTTAAGGTACTGCGTGGCCCTAACAAAACCCTCCGCCACGTGGTCTTTTTAGTAACAAGGGCGAGGTGTTGCAGGAGAGAAGTGGAGCAAGTGCTTAATTAAAGCAAGTGCTTGATGAATGTGTAAATACTGTCCGGGATGCACTGCAACAACACAAAAATTAAACACCTGTTATTTGAATAATTTAACTTTTAATTTATGTAAATCCTTCAGGAAACTGCTCCAGCGTGTTCATTTCACACACTGAGATTCCCAGGGTGTGGGAGAGAAGCACCGAAGTGCAAGGAAACCATCCCAGTACTGGGACTGTGTGCGCATAAATGTTTCAGAACAAAAACAAGAAGAACAGGTAAGTTTGGAGTCATTGCTCTCCCTGAACGAATGTCTTCTGGCTGCCTTGTGACAGCACTTATACAGACTGTGGTGTGGATACATGGCTTTGCTTATAAATGCAAATCAGTAGATGAGTGGCAAATACCCATTTCACATACAACTCAGAGACAATGGAAGGCACATTCAAGTTAAGAAGCTCAGTACTGCCTGGCCAGGAGTGGCTCAGCGGTTGAGCGTCGACTCAGGATCCAGGCGATCGGGGTTTGATTCCTGGTCAGGGCACAGGCCCCGGTTGCGGGCTCGATCAATGACTCTCTCATCATTGATGTTTCTATCTCTCTCTCTCCCTCTCCTTTCTTCTCTCTGAAGTCAATAAAGATATTTAAAAAAAAAAAAAAAAAAGAAGCTCAGTACTTATAAGGAAGAAACTAAGTCTCTCTAGATTAAAGAGAAATTGTGTTAAGTGAAAAATTATCTGTAACACGCTTCAAGCCTTTGAACTACAAACATTTCCTTGCTAAAGCTTTCAATTCTAACAGGCTATTTGAAAATTGACAGGATACAGTCACAGTATGTTTCACAGATTCAAGAATGCAGTTCCCTCTCTCATGGCATGTAGAAGAACTTAAAATTCAACATGTATTGCTATGGAGCTTAATGTTAGAAGTATCTGAAGAAAATAAGAGTAGGTAAACTACTTGAGGACATAATTACTAACCATTCTTTGAAACACTCCAATTTGAAAATGCTATGTGCTTGTATATGTGTATGTGTGTGTATACATTGTCATACATACATGTATTTTCACAGCCAGAACCTACGCCTCACACCATCCTATGTATTACGTGGCAGCCTAGTGGAGGAGCAGTCCTGACACTCCCAGGACTGAGGTTCTCAAAGTTAGACAGAGACAGTCAGTGGGGAAGCAGCAGACTGGCAAGGAGGTATCTCCCCTCTCCCCGGAACCCACACCTCACAGTGCCCAGGGATGGACATAAAACCTAGGTCTCCTAACTCCTAACCCTCTATAGCTTCCATTCGGAACTAAATCGCTGCAGAGTCGTGCGCAGGACTGTATTTCACAATGTCAATTTTTTTTTAAATCAGGAAATCAGCATCTTTAAATATTTCTGAGAGGTCAAGCCTATGAGCAAGGCTGAGGCCTGACTTTGGCAAACAGACTTTTCCCAGAGGACAGACATTTAAAAGGAAGCACAGTTAGTGTACGCTCATTCTGTATTGTGGAATTTAACTGGCTACCGTCATACTCAGACTTTACCCTGATGAAAACAATTAAAACTCCAGAAACAATAGCCCACAGAGTCCCTGTACCTTGCCAGTAATAAGAATGACATCAGAAGGAATTTCAGACGATGGCCATGCACCTTAATTTTTTTTTTTCTAAAAGTCTAAAGTGGGGCCACTGAAACCCCGGCAATTAATATTCTTGTGACCCATGTGTTTCGAAGACAGATGCCCTCTACTGGTGACACTGTTTCATAAATATTCTAACGTGGTGCATTAAAAATGTAAGGCTCATTGAAGAGTAACAACAGAAGCACATTTTCCTGAGTAATGGTGGTATGGCTGCCTCAGTCTGTAATGAAGTTTGAAATTACACCCTTACAAAAGGCGTCCGGTTAATGGTACCTCATTACAAGAATGAAAGTGTCATTTCTCCCATCCATGAACTGCTCCAGAAAATACAGGTGCTGTGTGGAAAGCAACAATAGTATAACACGCGGTCCTTACGAGGCAGACATTAACTATTTTGTTTATGCGTGAGTGAATAAAGAAATCTTCAAATGTAAAAGACAGATGCTATAATGCGACTTGTACGCCTCCTCTATCCTTAAGTGTGGGATACGTAAGTGTTGTTTTTTGCTCCTTTCCTGCTAGATTTTAATTATGATGTAGGGATTTACATTAAGAAAAATAGTACCTTTAAAAAAAGTCAAAATGTGCTCTTACATGACAGATAGTGTCAAGGGGGGGAAAAAAGAGCCCATTGTCATTTACATTGGGGAAATATTCATTTCCAAATGTTGCATTTAAAGGGAACCTCAAAAATGCTAAGTGTTTCTTTCCTGTATCCTTAGATGCAGTAACTCTAAATTGATCATATCGTGTCTATTTTCTCACTAACAACTATGGAGAGTTAACAGTTGGGGTAGGGCGCCTTATCACAACAGGCTTTTGCTTTTTAATATATAAGGAAAAGGGCTGACTGAAAATAGAACAAATTTCAATGACGTTTCAGAACAGGAGAACTCTAGTACGTTTCCCCCACGTCTCACCAAGTCTGAACACCCGACTTTTCCAGACGACGCATGCAATTTAGATTGTAAGTGCATGTGACACTTAATTAAAGTTTGCAAAAGGTTTGCAGATGAAATGCCATATAATCGTTTGATAACAAAAACGAAGACAATGACTACTTCTGGTCTCTTCTTTCCTGCCTCCCCAATTACAGTTCTGCCTCTTCTGCAGAATTCTTCACATTAACGGAATCCTTATACGACCTCCCGTGGGCTTTCCTCTGCTCTCTACCTTTACCCAGGCGGTTTGATCCTAATAGGGCCTTCCTTGACACCAGTTCTTAATTCACTACTCATTCACTGAAAATAGAGACCGTGTTTAATGCTGAGCCTGAGAAATCTCACAAAGCAAATGTATAATGAAGCTCTAAGAAGATATGAGAAATACACGGTGCTCCTGAGTCCTGCGTGGTCCCCACACTGCCATTACCTGAGCAAATTGCTTCTTTGGTCAGGTCTCAGTTTTTCATCTACCTGATTACCGCGAAGATCCTTTCTAGCTTTAAAATTCTGTGTTTCTCTATTTGTGTTTTATTTCAAGCCAGTCGGACACATTGAAACAAACCTATACTTCATCAACCGCACAGCTTCCCAGACAATTGCTTCATGTGGACACTCCACTGCTAATACTACGTCCGCAGGTCCCGACTGACTGCAGACTTGTGTTTCTCATTAACTGCACTCATTTTTGGATCACCTGCTATAAGCCAATCTTCTTCTTTTTTTTTTTTTTCCAGTAGTTTTTCTTCCCTAGGGAAATTTATGTTGGTTCCAGGCATCTGTCGACATATTCCCTTAAGACCAGCAAGCAAAAAATTCATTTGCTTTTCCCAAACTTCCCCCATCATCAATAAATTATTCTTATTTGCTCCTGAAGGTGCTTCTGCCTCTTCCACTTATTTCTTATGCTCTTCCTACAAAATGTGTTACCTTTTGGTGCAATCTCTCTTTCAAACCCTCCTCCGTTTTCCTAATTTTTCAACCTGCTTTGCCCTCGCTCGGGANACCTTTTGGTGCAATCTCTCTTTCAAACCCTCCTCCGTTTTCCTAATTTTTCAACCTGCTTTGCCCTCGCTCGGGAATTGGACGTCATTCTCAGTGGCTGCAGCTCGGCACCTCCACCGTCATCTGTCAAC